ATGGCGGGGACAGGGGCTGCAACCACCCCAGCCGCTCCCAGGCACCAATGGGTTTTATTCCTAACATAATTTTTCAATTTACAAGGCAGTAAATGAAAGAGGAAGATGAGATTTGCTCAGCGCATTTTTCAGAAGTATTTACTGCTGAGAGCACTAGAAAAGCCATTTAAACAATTGCTTTTATGATACAACACACATTAAAGAAACTTCCCTAATATTTTTTTCACCCCTCTGCCACTTTGTACCATACTGCTGCCGTTCTGTTCAGCTAGCTGGTTTATTGGCTGCCTTGATTTTAATTGGGCTGTAGCCCCAGGGTGCACTGAAAATTTTGACTTTCATTTAGCTCAAAGTGTACTTACAGCTGATCGGGCAGAATTGCTGGGTCCTGCCTTAATGTCTTCTGTCATCTTGTGAGCTGCAAGAGCCGCAGGTGGGGAATGGAGGACTCGATGTGGGTGATGTACCTCCAGCCCAAGTGCTGGTCCCCACATCCCTCGTGGAGCTGGGTTCCTGGGCTGGGATTTAGAGGACGGTCACCTTGGCCATTTGATGTAATTAGGGGCAGACTGAGGCCTGGAAAGTTCAGGCTGGTGTTTAGGAAAGGCTTTTTCACTAGGAGGGGAGTGTCAGGGATTATCCACACTTGGAGGCTTTCAAGGCTTGGCTAAACAAAGCCCAGCCCAAGTCTAGCATTGGTGATGGTCCCACCTTGAGCAGGAGACAAGTCTAGCATTGGTGATGGTCCCACCTTGAGCTCCAGAAACCTCTGGAGCTCCCAGCACTGTTATTATTAATTATTTGTACTTTAACCCAGCCGTTCCCAGTAGGCAGTAAGAGATGCCTGGGGCAGGGGGCAGCCCTCCATACTGTTCAGGCAAGGGCTGGGAGCTGTGTCCCATCACCCACCGGCCGCCCACGGGGATGGGCGATGGTCCCACCCCAGGGGACATCACTTCAGCCCTGTCCCTATTGTCACCCAGTGGGACACCCTGACCATGCGCCTTAAAAATCTCAGCCCCCCCAGGCAGAGAGCGGGCCGTCGGGGTGCAGAGGGGAGGGGGTCCCTGCAGAGGTCTGCTCCGGCCGCCGACCGGGATCGGGGCCGGGGCTGGAGCCGGAGCCGGAGCCTGGGTCCCACCCCCCGCATCCCGCCTGCATCCCTGGCACCGGAGAGGCCCAGGTTGACTGAATTAAGGCAGAAAACGTCAAAGGAGCCCGTTCGAGGTCCTGCGAAAGGGACCTTGGTGGAGGGGCCAGGCGCAGCTGCCAGGTTTTGCCCAGCAGCTCCCGTCCCCACAGGCCACCGAGGTGCGGGGCATGTTTGACGGTGTGGGACACTGAGGTGCTGGAGCGTGTCCAAATGAGGACAACGAGGCTGGGGCAGGGTCTGGAGCACAAGGCTGGGGAGGAGCAGCTGGGGGTGCTCAGCCTGGAGAAGAGGAGGCTGAGGGGAGCCCTCATCACTCTCTGCAACTGCCTGAAAGGAGGCTGGAGCCGGGGGGGGTCGGTCTCTTCTCCCCAGGAACAAGCGATGGGACGAGAGGGAACGGCCTCAGTGGTGGGCTTGGCAGTGCTGGGTTAACGGTTGGACTCGATGATCTTAAAGGTCTTTTCCAACCTAAACGATTCTATAATTCTATGTTTGCCACCATGGTTGAGAGCCAGGGTAACAGGATCTGGCATTTTCCAACCCAGTGGAGTCAACCTAAGTGAGACAGTTTGGGGCAGGGGGAACAGGGACATCAACTCTGATGCAAATCAGTGGCAGTTCCCCTTTGGACCCTTTCCAAAAGGGATTCAAACCTTTGCACTGTTTCCACTTCAAAAGTTACCTTGCTCTGCATGCTTTCAAAAATGCATTCCCCAAACAAAGCAGCTATGCAACACAGATGTTGATAGGAACTGATGCCGCTCACTTGTTTACACCTTGAACAGATGAAGAGCACCATGCTGGGAGGTAAAAATGAAGCAGTCAGCTTTTTTGTGCCTTCTGAGATACTGACCCAAAGTGAGAAAGAGCATCTTTAATTTTCTCACAGGAGGGGAAAAACCACCTGTGTTCCTACCTGCTCCTCAGAAGGGAAATATTTGTCCCCTTTGCCAGGTACGCGGTGCCAAGCCCGGCAGGATCCAGGATGGCCATGCAGCCGAGGAGGTGCGAGGCAGCTCCTGCTCCTTTCCTTTGGGATGTGGCTGGGTTGAGGGCTTTGGGATCTGGCCTGATGTTAATAACTGGCCTCAACACGTGGCATTGCAAAAGCCATTGTGTTTCTGCCAGCACCAGTTGCTACATCAGCTCGGATATGTAATAGCCAAATGAATGAGCGAACGGAAGTGTGAACGCTTCCGTGCCAGCCATTAAGGCTGCACATACTGCGCACAATGTGCTAATCCCCCCGGCCGTAATTGCACCCCCACCCCCAGGCCCTGGGTGTTTTGGCGCACAGGACTGAAAGGCTTCTGCTGTTTGTGCTGGGTGGCAGAGCCGGCCAGATCCCCCCGGGCAGCTGGTGCTGACCTAAACCGTCCCTGCTCAGGAGACTGGGAGGGGGTAAGCGTAGTCCTGCCAGCTGCTGTCTGGCTGCTGTCTTTGGGGAGCTGGTGGTCACATCATGGGAGCATCTTAGGACAGAGGCAGAAAGATCAGCACTCACCAGCACTACGGCACGGGGCCTTGAGCTCAGTTCCTGGCCCTGGCACTAAATCCGGTGCAGTCTTACCCCTCCAGCAGGTACATCTGCCAGACAGACAGCCCAGCGAACCCAGAGCCTCTCTCAGCGGCATGGATTAGCCCACAAATCTGCTACACGGCATCACAGAGACCTTGGGGATGGGCGTGCAAGCAGACTGGTGGAGCACAGCCCAGCTCTAACCCACAAAAATGCCAAAAAGCAGAAGCAACTGAGTTATTCTGACTTTTATTTCATTGCTTCTTAGTCCACACAGTCGGTATAAAATCAGAAAAGCAAAGCAAAAAAAAAAAAAAAAAGAACCAAAAAAACCCCAAAATGAAACAAAAACAACAACAGCAACACAGTGTCTGGAGTCCTCAGAAGGCAGCCTGGGGTCTGCGCAGGTGCCCGTTCAATTCATGGCCAGACACATCGCTGACGCACAGACAGAGGACAGACATCTCGCTCTGGCAGCAAAGACTGGCAGGGCTCCACCCAGAGCTGTTTCTGTTCCTCTTGACCCCGGGGGGGGGGGGAAAAAGGAACCTTGGTTATAAATGCTTTATTAAAAATAATAGTAAGAGCATGTCTAAGTACAAAAGCAGTTATAGCTCATTTATATTACACAGAATTATTTCTCATTTCTAGCTTTGTTGTTTACCTCAAGATTGTTAACTGAATTTCCAGTGAATAAGGTTAAATGGCTAGCAATATAAGGAATGGTAAATAGATAGCACCATTTCATATATCTGGTATTTGATTTCATAGGTATACTGGGTTTGCTTCTTTCTCATCGGTAGTTTAGCTCCACGGCAAGGCTAAAGCACGTTTCACGGTTGGGAGCATCAGTGCCCCGGCGGCCCGGCCCGGCACGGCACACACCCCAGCCCTGCCAGTACGGGCACCGGGGGCACCCCCAGAGCCTGCACGGGCGAAGGAGGACAGCCCGCGCTGGACTGCAATTCAACCTAAGTGATTTAAAAGCCCAAATTCCCAGCGGGTGTGGTGGCAAGGCAATGGGACTTAGGCACATAAGTCATTTAGGCACTTGGGGCAATCAAAGCCTTTGCTCCGAAATCCTTCAAACCTTTCGGAAGCGTCTCCCGTCAGATCTGGACGTGCACTTCGGTTACCAGGATCACAGCATGTGGCAGGAGTGGGGACCAACCCTCCGGCTGGCATAAGCAGGCGTAACTCCGATTTACGCCAGCCTAAAACCAGTCAGTGCTGGGGTTTTCTGATGGTTCAATACGGGCTGGGATGGGGAAGGAGAGTTCAGGTCAAAGAGGATTTTGCATGAGAGAAAAATCACCGCGCTCTTGTTACACTGTTAGGAGTAATAGTTCCTTAGGCACTTGCTTTAGGCTTTAAAACATAGCGTATGGTCAACAAAAGCAAACAATACTATGTACATATATGTAAAAAGTGTTATAAATAGGTTTTTTAAACCATAGATACTATATACATCTTCAATTAACAAGTAACTCTTTGAGTGTTTCCTTTTGGGGTCGGTTGGGTTTGGTTTTGGTGGGAGGGTTTATTCCTTTTCTTTTTTTTTTTTCTTTTTTTTTTTTTTGTTAATTTTCTTTTCCGTTTTCTCGTCTATTTTCCCCCGCCTCCGTCTCCTCCGTGGACGTCATGAGTGCCCTTGTCACGCCACGCTGCCTCCTGCGGCATCACTCGCGCTTCCGTAGGATGACGTAGACGATGCCGCTGGCGAGGGCCAGGGGGAAGGCCAGCCACGCCAGGATATAGGCGAAGCCGTAGGAGGTGTTTTCCGAGGCTTGGTGCCAGTCCGTGTGCCTCACTGTGAAGATGGCCGCGCCGCTCATCACGCAGAGCCCTGCCGGGGAAGCGCACATAGGAAGGGGTTAGCCACGCCACGCACGGAGCAGTTCCCTGCTGGAAACCCAGAGCCAGAGAGGATAATACCCAACGCCAGCATGAGAAACTGTTTTTATTATTGCCCCCTTGTATCCTGTCTCCTGAAAAACTATGGTATGATTTGGGGGGGGTGATGCTGTGGGCTCTGCCCCGGCTGCAGGTGAATGGGGATATCTCTGCCAGGCTCTGAGCAAGCAAAGCCGGGGCCCCTGGAGCAAGCAAAGCCAGAGCATGGCCTGGGCTAACCCATCCCTCCAGCAAGCATCAGGCATCCCCCAGCCCCAGGCTGCTGCTCCGGACCAGGCCCAGTCCCTTAGGCAGCTTATTAAAAACCGAGACTGTAGCCTGAACCACCCTACCAGAGGTGCTGTGAGAGGTCAGACACAAACCCTGTTGTTTTTAAAGCACAAAAGTTTCTTTATCACCTGCCCAGGCAAGTGCAGCTGGGGGCCAAGGACACTCTGGCCAGGCAGGGTCTGTGCCCTGCGATCAACTGCAAACCCTGCTCTCTGCAAACCCCGCTGTGCCTGCGGCTCATCCCTCTTCCCCAGCTCCTGGCATCCATCCTCGCCAGCCACGGGCCAGCGCAGGTCCCCGAGGGCTGTCCAGCTGGGCGCAGCTCCGGTAGGCAGCATTTTAGCTTTGTTGCAAAACCAACCCATCAGCGTTGGGGACTGCCCAGAGCTAACACAAAGCCACCTCTATTTCTGCCCGAAAACAAGCTCTTTCAGTCAGTCCCAGCAGCTCTATTATACAGTTGCGGGGCTGTTGTCGGAGCCGAGTTCCAAATCCCCTGCACGGACCTCGGGACCACCTACATTTAACCACGGTGATATTTGAGCTGTAATTCCACTTGACACTGCTCCTTTGTTCTAGGAAAGTGCAGAAGTGGGAATACGTTTCATTAACGCGCCGCTGGAGCAGTTTCCATTCTCTAAGCAGGAGAGCCAACTCCCACTGCCCCGGCCCATGCAAAGAGAGCACAACAATTGTATGCGGATGCTGGTGGGACAAAGAACAGGCGTGCGGCCACGCCAGTCACCTACAGACAGCAGAAAATACAGCAGCAATTGTCCGCATGAGGAATTTGGCAAAATGGAGGCGACAATTTCTGCAGCATCTGCACTGATTTTGGCCCGGAGATGCTCAGGAAGCAAAGGACAGCTGCATTCAGCTGCTTGCACCGATGCAAGCAATAATGTATCACCACTTTAGAGCCTGATTTTAAGAACACGCTCTAGTCTTGCTTTGACAAGCCAGGAGGGCAAATGCTACCTAAAATCTGTTCCTGCAGGTCTGTGCATTCTGCCCCAGCCCTGCAGAGAAGCTGGGCTGGGTGCTGGTGCATGCTTATGCTCAGCTCTTCAACGCAGGCCTTTGGAAAAAGCTGCAGGACATGTGGAAGGCACAGCCCTCAAGGCTGAGCCTACCCTCTCCACCCCATGGGGACAGCAGCTGTAGGGGGGCAGAGATGAGAAAAAAGGGGTAAAAGTGATGCTGAGGCTAGAGAGAGTGATGGAAAAGTTGGGTCAAACCCTGAGAGGCCCAAACCAACATCTCTCCCATGCTGGGCTTACACAGCTATGAGAAGTTACCCATGGATGTGATGGACCCACCAAGGATGGCAGGGAACTGTCGAGGGCCTTTTCATGCCTTTGTGACAGCTGAAATCCCACCAGGGCAAATTCAGCTGGACTTTGGGGCACGTTTCCAAGCAGGGTGGAGAACGTGCTGGGGATGCATCCTGCCCTGCCGCTGCACAATGGACCTGATTGACCTTGTGCATCTTTTCTTACCTCCACTCCCCAGTTCCCCTGAGCCACAGCCGAAGTTGTAGTGGAGACCAGCCCCTGTCCTCCTCCCTGGCTCTCAGGGCACCGCTGCCGGCTCTGCCACCCAACAGCACCCAGTGGTCCTGCTCCTGGCACCTGCTGGTTCAGGTCCAGCATTGCTGTTGGTCAGGCTCCAAACCTGGAGACCCTCAGCTTTGCCAAGCTGCAGGAGGTGCAGGGTGATGGAGGGCTTCAGGAAGAGCCTTCTCATTCCCTCCCAGAAGGAGGGAGGTCCTCTCTGGCTCTGCTGGAGCTGAGAACAAAGCACCCAAGCAGGTAAAACCCTGTCCCTGGCAGACCTGTAGCAGGGCTTTGTGGTGCCAGGGCTTTGCAAGGCATGGATGAACACCTGCAAGGCCTGAAGGCCACAGGAATTTCCTCCGTTGGCTTTAGACAGAGGTGGTCTTCCACAGCAAGCTGCGAGGAGACTACATCAGGTTCAGCTCCTTTGACCAGAGCCATCTGTACCTCCAGGCAGGATCTCCTGGCAGCGCTGGCACAGTCATGTCCTGTTTCCTACCAACAACCCTGAAATTTAGGGTCACAAAGACCACAGCTGCCCTGAGCCCCCTCCTCCAGCCCTGGCTGGGGAGAACCTCAAGGATGGCCACCAGTGCCCACCTCTGCATGGTCCATCCAGACTCAGAGTTCTGCCTACGGGTCCCCCAGGCCATGGGAAAGCTTCATGGGGATCAGGTCACACTTTTCCTGTCCTTCATAGTGGCTGGAGATGGACTTGACCCATGCCTCAAGCCCAACAAAGGAAGAGACAGTAGGTCTATGGCCTGACCCTGCATCCCCTTAGGACACCCAGCACAGCATGGACAGGAGAGTTGCAATCCCATTTTCTCTTCCTCTGAGAATGAGGATTCACCAGCAATCACTCAGGAGAGAGAAGCCTTCTGCTCCCAGATCTATTAGACAAGCTCTCAGGCAGATAATTGCATTATTAATGCCCATTTCCCCTCCTTGTCTCCATGGCTGTAATGGGTTTCTACACATCTATCTTTCCAGAGACAGTGAACTGATCTGAACTCATCACCTGCATTATGGCCAAGCAGTTACACTTATAACAGATTTCATGCCAGACTTGCTAATAAAAGTTATCTCTAAACTTTTCCAGCGTTTGTGAAGGCCAGTTGCTTATAGGATGCTCAGAAACTTTGTCTAAATTCAGTGGATGAGTTTTTCCACTGATTCAGTGGCAGGACCTAGGGTGGCTTTTAGTTTAACATCTAAAGCTCTAGCAAACGATTTGTCTCCTTCCCAGACAGTCTGTCATAATTTAGCCAGAACCTCGTTGCACAATTTAATTTTTCTAGTCTGAACACTTGAAAATCCTCTCCAGTGGTTTCATACGTAGAAACGTAAATGGAGCCAGTGGCTTTACAGCATCTATATTTGGAGAACTGCAACGTAGAACATGAACCGTGGCTCATTGCCAGTGCTGAGTTCTTTAAGAGTTAAAAATAGTAGCTGACAGTTCAAAGTCAGCTGGCTCACCCTGCACGCTCCAGCAGCTCTTTGCTGATGTGGAAAGCACCAGGCCCCCTTATGGCAAGTTTATAAATAATCGTCGGATCCTCTTTTGCCAAAAGACGATCGTCACTACTTCCCCCACCCTGCCAGCAGTTGCAGAAACCTCGCCCAGCCCGGCGAAGGTGGGTCCCAGCGTCAGCACAGCCACCCTGGACCGTCAGCACCCACCCCGAGCCATGGGAAGAAGAAGCAGAGCTGCGGGGCGACTCGTCCTTGGTCTGGCAGCCTCCGCACCCCGCTTGCCCACCACCCGGCACCGCCAGCACAGCTCTGCCTCCGGCTCGGCAGGTCTGGCACCCTGCCCCTCCAAACCCCCCCCAGCCAGGGCAGCAACTCTCTTGCACCTTCCATGATGCAAGGGCAGAGAGCTTGGATGCATAACGCGCCCTGACAGCCGGACCCCACCCCAGGGTGTGCGAGACCTCAACAGACCCAAATTATTCATCCCCCTTTCCCTTCACTGAGCCATGCAAGAGCCAGTTCGATGGCCCTTCTGCTTTGGTACCCAAGAACATGCTCGTTTCCACCATTACCCTCTCCTCTGCTTGAAAGCCCTTTCCCCACCAGCGACAGCCCCATTGATCGGCCCCCACTTACCAGCAAGGATTTGGAAGATTCCAGTAATGTAAAACCGCCCGCCCTTGGTGAGCGTGAACAGCTGGCAAAAGAACAGGAACAGGGACAAGACGCTGAAGATGATGGAGAGGATCATCATCGCTTGGACAGACTGCAGCCATTCTGGGGACAGACAGACAGACGGAAATCTCAGTGCGGGCACCACAGATAGTGAGCCCCCACCACAGCCCATGGCCTCGGCATCATCCCCCATGCCAACATCCCACCCCTGGTTCCCATTAAGTTTTATAACAGCAGGGGGATGTGGCCACATCCAGTGCCGCTGGTGAGGTCCTCAGCACGGGCACAACGCTGCCTGGGATTTAGGATGACACGTACATGGACCAACATGCTGGGGTAAAATGAATTGCAGGGCCACGCACTTTCTCAGGGAGCATTTATAATAAAATATGAGCAGAGATATTAGCCCTGATCTGAAGCCTGAAGAAATTAAGACAAAGGCTCTCCCCCAGCTTCGTGTCAGGCCCTGGGAGTTCAGCTGTACTAGCACCAGAAAAACCATGTGCAACAAGCCGTGAGACACCAAGCTGGCCAAGCTCAGAGGTAAAATAAATATACAGCGAGTGAGACACCCTCTGCCCTCCCAGAGTCAAACCTTTTGGAAAGAGCCTTCCCCAGCTGCCAAACGCAGCTGCCTCCCAGAGCAGACCAGTTAAACCAGCCCCTGTGTGAGTCACTGCCCAGCTATTTCCAGGCTTCGTGGGTGTGTAACTCCCCGTGTAAAAAAAAAAATATAAATAAACAAGCAAAATGCCACTCCATCCCATGAGCTGCCACAGCTTGACAGAAAGAGGCAGTGCCTCGCAGCACCGGGACGGGGCTGTGCTCACAAATACCTCTGCCTTTCCCTTTCCTTATGAAGTTTGAGATCAAAATGAGTACTTGAAGCCTTCCTTGAGAGGTCTTTAAGGATGAAGCATCAATTAATTCGCCATGAAAGCCAAACAGGACTCAGTACAGGTAAACTGAGGCACAAACCACTCGGTGAAAGGCAGAAAAATCATGCTTTGGGCTGGATCCTCAGGCAGGGGAGAATTAGGCAGCACTGCAGTCTCAGTCCCAGTCCCATGTTTCTGCCACAGTTTTACTCCCACCAGCTTCGCTCCCCCAGCTGCATGCTGCAAGAAACAGCTTTCTGCAGCAAATAGCTGAAACATAGCAAAACTTCCAAATAAAGCTATGCTTCAGCTTAGCAACCTTCAATATTTGGTGCAGCAAATGAGGCCATTTGGGACTGCCCAGAGCAGCGTCTGCTCCAGAAGAGCGATCGCGCTTCCCCACCAAATCCTCGCAAGCTACACTCATGGAGGTGAGAGAGGAATTTGAACCGGAGAGCGAGGGTCCAGCCTTCAGCTGGGATGGCAATGACGATCCACGCCTGAGCCCTTCCAGCAAATCCATGCCTGCGGGGAGCATCCTGCGCAATTCAGTAACGTCTGGTGTGTTTGGCTTTGGACCATCAGTTCTACCCCTTGTCTTTGCATCTTGCCTCCTGACGTTCACGCAACGGAGCAAATTCAGGCCCTGCTCACCACAGCAGACTGAAACCACCCAGAGCGGCCTCTGCTCATCGCAGACAGCTTTTTCCTTCCCCTCCTTTTCACGCTTCCCATGCCCAACTATTCTGCAGCATTAACGGGCCCTGCTAAAGAGCTGCTGCGCTTCACTCATGCCAATGCCGCCAGCTATCACTGCTGTCACTTCCAGGAAATCCCAGTGCGGCACACAAAATGTCCCATATATTTCATGTATGTCAGCTGCCCAGGCAGGGAAACACCCCTGCCTCGACCACACCTGACCTTTGGCTCTGGCCACGCTAAACCAGTGGGCAACGGAGGGGATGAAGCGGCTCAAGCACTGCTAAAAATGAAGTCATAAATCATCGTTCAGATGGGGTCGGAGAAGTATAGTTAGAGGGTGTCCAGCTGCTGAACTGCAATCTGCTTCCACACTTCAGCACAGAAAGGGCTCCCACCCCAGGTCTGGGAAGCTGAGCTCTTGACTCAGCCTTTCCAGAGCCCTAAAGCCGGGTCCAGCTCCGTGCACCAGTGGAGCCAAAGCCTGCCTGGCCCCAAGCCCTGCAGTTTGGTCCGGGACCCAGGAAGCCAAGTCTTTTGTGATTTCAAAGGCCACGGGATCCGGCCCGGAGAGGAGCCCTTTCTGCTCGGAGGTGGATGCTCCAACTGCCGGTTATTTTAGGAGAAGGCTGTCTAGACGGAAAGCTGAGCCGAGCTGCCCTTTTAATTGCATCCGCCTCCCCATGCCTCTTTTTTGGTTCTGAATGTGTATGATTTATATGGGCTTTTCAAAATCCCATTGTAATAAAGAGCTGTGTCAGAGGAATATAAAGGCAGGCACTGAGTGAGGGGTTTCGGCGGCCAGAGAGCAGCAGCCGCACGAGCTTGTGAGCAGGGAAATCAAGAGATGATCCCGCAGACCTGAGCTCTGGGCCTGCTCACATCCAGCCCTTTGCTTGTGGCTCAGAGACCCACAAGTGCAAGCTGCTATACTCCCATTAAATCCAAGCCCAGCTGCCCATAGACTTCAGCTGTATTAGGCTAGCTAATTGCCTTCAATACACTTGAAAACACCACTATAACTGCAGATAGGTTTGCTACCTCCTCAACTCCATATGCTTTTAACTCCTTTGCTATTAGCTCTGTGTCCTACCTATAGGCTTTCAAAAATAAAGCAAGTTTCCTACAGGGAGGTCTGGGACCCGTGGGTTGTACTGCAGGGCTGTCAGCACTGTTTACTCCCAGGCTGTTATTTGTGGTTTCCCCTGGGCAACGAGTCGGTTATTCCATTTTTCTCCTGCATCTCTTCAGCTCCGTGTGTATATCTTCACTCTTCAGGAGGAGGAAGAAAAGGAAACGGAGTGGAAAGGACAGATAACACCCTGCACACCGCTTCCGGAGGGAGCCTTTCTAGAGCCCTTTCAGGCAGTCAGAAATGAGGTAAGAAGTTTTTACAAAACAAATTTGAAAATTTCCCTAAGCTTTGCAAGCCCTGATGTGCTCACACCACCACTTATAACAGCAGGGAAAAAAACTTCACCCCTGGGATGCTAAAAACCACATTTCACTGCCCTCAACTCTAACATGAAAGAAAGAAACCCAGAGCAGAAAGTGAAACCCAGAGCAGAAATTGAAACCTAGAGCAGAAATTGCAGCTGAAGTCCCTCAGAAAGACAGCAGCTAACCCAACCCCTTCCAGCAAAGCCCCAGCCCTGCTCACAGGGAGGTTTTATACCCAGACAAGGGGTGCAGCTGAGCAGGACTGATGGGGCAGGCAGAAGCATGCCCTTGGCCAGGAGCAGAGGGCCTTAAAGGACTGGCATTGGCTCCCCAGGGTGTAATTCCCTGCTCTGTCGTAGACACCCTATCTTCTTTTGACCCAGCCAAGGAGAAAGAATAAAGTGCAAACTGAAAAGGAACTTATTTGAGCAATCAGCTTATACACTCGCTTTAAGACATCACTAAATTAGTGCTATGTATTAAAAGCACCTGTGTGCCGTGACCTGCAGCTGATGCTATACATTTTGCATGTAGAGCTTTCCCTTTGCAAACTGCGTATGCACTGTACACTTAGAAAGCAACCACTTCTCAGGAAGAAAACATCCCCTAAGGAGGTAACTGTAGTATAGCATATATACAAAACGAGAGGGAGGAGAAATTCATGACCACATCTGAATAGTAAAACCTGCTTCTTCAATGCTGCGAACTAAATATCAGCAGGGTCAGGAACAGCACATGCATCTGCTGGCACAAAGGTACCAGCCCAGGTCTGCCAGGAAAAGATGTGTTTTCTGAGCAGAGTTTTTCCAAAACAGACTTTCAGGCTTCAAGGTCTGATCAAGAACCTGAACCCAATTTGCATCCTCACCTATGAAGCAGACGGGTCACATCACAAGTGCAGGGGCTTGCAATGGTTTTAAACCTTGATATTCAAACACCCCTTAAGAGGGTTGAAAAAGGGTTAACTGAAGATGCAGAAATACTAGCTCAATTGCATCGTTCTTCTGGGGCTGAAATTCAGACTGCTGCCCCTTGGCAACTCATTGCAGCAACCCAGAAAGGCAAAAAAGCTCAGCTACCTGCAGTGCTATTCCTGAGCAGCACAGATGCTCCCACCACCACCCACAGCCCCACCGCTCAAAGTGAACCTCTCTCCTGTTGGGGAGAACAGCATCACGGTTCCTCAGCCACATCCAGCAGAGCCGCTAAGCTCTCCTAGGGAGAAAACACCTCCGTGACATTGCAACTTTCTTCTGCTTCGGTCCCAGACTTCCCACCAGCACGAGGTCAAACCTTCCCCAGCTGCGCTCTGGGCTGCTGGATGCTCAAGCCGGGAAAAGTGGGTTTTTCACCCAACAGTTGCTCCTTTCCTATCTTCCCATGTCCACTCCGTGAAGAGGACTGCAGGGTGCTGGATCGAGGTATTCCTGGAAGTCCCACCAGAAAAGGGGGATTTTAAAGAGCTCCCAAGGTATTTGTAAGGGCCAGGGGATGAGCAGGTGGGAAACACCAGGGCTGCAGGGAGGCAGTGAATGAACACAGTGCTGCAATTCCTGCCCAAGACTTCCTGGTCCTCTTCTGTAGCTCCCTTCAGAAGGAGATGAAACCCTCGAAGCCCTCTTTTCTCCTCTTGTCCTCTTTTCCTCTTGGCTCTCCTCCCTTTTGCCTTCTCCTCGAAGCTCCATCCAAGAAGTCCCTGAGGCCAGGAGGTCCATAGCTCCCCAGAGCCACCACACTCAAACGTGAGCAGTTTTCAGAGCATGGCCTGTCCGCTGCATCTCTGTGGTTCAGCCATGAAGCTGCAGCAGCCATCCCATTGACCATTGAAGCTCACATCCCGCAGAGGCAACCTCCGATGCTGCCAAAGCAGCAGAAAGCTGCTGGCACCGTGAAAAACACCTTCCAACAGCTCCATGACGCCTGAGCCAGCTCCCCTCTGAGACGCTCAGTGTAGTGGCTCTGATCTCCTTTTTGCTCATGTGTGAGAGCGAGCTGAGGTGGTAGCTACATCATTTCAGATCCTCCACAGGGCTTAGGTACCAACTCCCACTGATTTCAAGTCCAGGCAGCAGGAGCAGGGATGGT